AAATTTTACTGTTTGTGGGCGGGCAAGTTGGCGACGTAGAAATTGGGCAGACATTTTGCAAATGTGTTACTTCGTGACGTAGAGCCGTAACAGAATAAGATTCGAATTCCTGACGACTCATTTAGGCGATTGCGAGCAGACTCTTTTTTTTGATAGACAATAACTTTATTTATCGTGCACTCTCGGCTTCACAACTTTGCAGATAGTTTATGTTCACATACAGCAACATGACACACTGCATGAAAGGTAATATTCGAAAAGCCATAATAGGGGCACTTTAAGTTTTTCACCCAATGTTTATATTTTATTCTATTTTAGCTTTATTTCAATAACCAAAAATAGTTTTTGATAGCTTTAGTTCATGTAAACAACAGTGGTTGTGATGTCTACATCTACTTATAGCATTTAAAATGTTTTGTTTTTGCGGTTGTTCATTTTCATTTATTTTGATAAACGGTATAGAATTTTAGTATCGAACATTTATCAGTTATCAGATGTAAAATGTAAATAATCAATATCAAATTGGCTAGAATTGTAATATAGGTGCATCTTTAGTCAGTAGTCACAACTCTTGATTTCAGAACAGAAGAAAAAGATTCATCTGCATTCTGACAAGTCACAGCAGGCCACTGAGAGAATTCCCATTATCATGATAATGATATATGCAGAAAAAGCTATGTCAGATAACTGATCACACAACATGCTTCACAACAAAACAACAGCAGTATCACTTTACAACTGCCTGTCTCCTCAACCCTCTGACTGCACAGTGACCCCCATCCTTGGATCCAGTGCTAATTTGTCCGATCAACAGCTTGGCTCGCACTGCTGGGATTGAGTTTATCCCCTGAAGAACATGCAGACAGACAGATAAGAACAGATATCATTATTCCTGCTAGATGCCAAGAGACACACGATATGGCCACAAGCGGCTGTCACAAGCCATGCCAGCGTGTCCGTCTGGCCCTGGGTGTGGGGGTACAGCTGGCACAGAGGGTCTCTGACCCCGACACAAGAGCAGGGGAGCCAGCTGTACATGCTCATCCCCAGTCAAAACCACAAGGCTCAAGTCAAGAAAGAGAATGCCTAAGGTTTGTAAAAGGATAAGAGCTGCACAAATCACACACTCACAGTTGTGGAGGGCCGCCTTCACACTACGGCCCCACAGAGTCAGGGCCAACAGCCAGAAAGATGACAGAGACTCTATAGACTCATATTGAACTTGCGAGTCTGTTTGATCCCTTGTTTTCAAACACTACTCTTCTGCCACTGCTCATGAAATACATAGATGAGGTTGTCAAAATGAGAATATTGTGACAGAAGCATCAACTAAAATGGCATAAACGAAAAAAAAAAGCTGCACACCATGTAATCATTTATCGTTATATATAGTGGTCGACCGATATTGGTTTTTTGACTGCCGATGCCGATATCTTGGAAAGCAGGGTGGCCGATGGCCGATATAAAGCTGATATAATTTTATTTATTTTAATTAATATTTAAGAAATTTTTAATCATTTGAAAATGGATTAAAAAATAGATGTGTAAAATAAAC